GGATAATACTAAACGATTTTATTATCCCTTTTATTAAATTTCTAACGTTTCTTCTACTAGTTCGGTATTTAATTATATCTTTAGTATTATTAATAACAAAAAGCAAGATTTATTTAATTTTCTAATAGAAGTTACTAAAGAGTTAAAATTATAGTATAGCCTTCTTAAACCTATTATCGTCGTTATAAATAAATATAAGGAAATAAAGTAATCGTTTAATAACACTTTCCCTAATACTTAGTAATAATTTTGCCTATTCTATATTATTAAAAATATATTATTTAATACTAAAAAGAAGTAGAAGACGTAAAAGGGTAATAACGATAGCGATAATTCTGAAGATAAGGAGGGTAAAAATAATTAGGAGAATCCAATATCTTTTAACCTAGTTAATTGAAATATTTATTCGTTAGTACGCAACCTTAACTCGAAGGCGGGCAATTTAGCTAAAATTACGAACGACCCCTATAATATATGAATATATTCAAATTTATTATATACGTTAATATTAAATTAGAGTTCTAGGCTATTTGGGAGAGGTTAAAGAGCCAATTTTAAAGCCAAAAAATAGTTCTTCGATATATCTAGAAGAATTGGCTCCCTATCAAAGATGAATAAGTATATTATTATATTAAGTAGTATCGAAATTACAATATTAAAATTACGTCCCCTAATAAATCTAGTAATTTAAATATTAAGAGTTACCTTCTTAATAGTAATAATAATATTTATAAGCTAATTACTACTATCGTAGAAATAGCTACTAAATAATGCTAGACCTTTAAAAAGAAAATTGTACGCTAGTAAACTCGCTAACGATAAGAGTATATCGACTATACGTACTTAGGTAAATTACTACTATAAATTAATTATATTATATTCGAATTAATTAATTACGAATACCGCTAAATAAAAAAGTATAAGCCTACTAACCAACGTAAAAATCCGCCTACTTTAGAATCCTATAGTAAAGAGTATAATATTATTACTTAATATAAATTACCTTACCGCTATATTATATTTAATAGGTTAGCTACAAAAAAGGTATTAAAGCTTAGTTATGTATACCCTCGCTAATATTATAAAAAGCCCCTTATACATTAAATCCCCTATCTTTTCACTTTATTTCTATTTATCTATCAATATATAAATATTAATTAATCTTCTTTCAATAGGATCTCTACGATTTCTACCTTCGTCTTAGAGACCCTTGTATTACTCCTAAGAAGAAAGGCCGCCCTAAGAACTCTACCAAAGCCATCCCTAATAAGTATACCCTTCCTATAAAGATAAAGCAAAAGACCCCAAAAACTCCTAAGACCCCCAAGTAGAAAGCTATACCTAATTTAAAGAAGGGAAGCAAAAAGGCTATACTAACGTTAAAGAGTAAAAAAGGAGGCTAAAAGGTTAAACCTATTAAATAGAATAACCTTAATAACCTATTTCGCTTATAGCCAAATATTCGACGTAGACCGTCTTACTAGCAGAGTAATGATATTAACGAATTTATTCCTAATTCTACGAAACGGCCTACGAAATGTAAACGCGTGCGGGAGCCGGTTAGCTCTAATATTTTAAACTATAATAGCGAATCGGAGGTAACATTAGGAAACGATCTAAAGTCAGTACTAGACTATATTCAAATAGCTATACTAAAACTAGAGCTAAAATTAAAATTAGAGTCAAAATTAGACTCTCTACTCCCGCTTCTAGAACTCCCGCCTCTAAAACTCCCGCTTCTAGAATTCTTTCTAAAAGTCTCTCCAGAACTCTCTCTAAAACTAAAGCTACAATTAGAATTCTTACCTTCTATAGAATCCTCTCCAAAGCCAGAGCCAAAGCTAAAGCCAAAGCCAGCGTATAATTTCTCTTCGTCTCCGAATTGACTAGAATAATAGTAGTCCTTTCTAGAGCTAGTACTAAATTACATTTAAATAGCTGTACCAAAGCTCTTATTTTTAAAGCTCTCGTCTTTAGAACTCTCGTCTCTAGAGCTCTCGTCTCTAGAGCTAAAATTAAACTCTATTTAAGTAGTTGTACTAAAATTAAACTCCCTTATTAAGTAAGCGGTTAAACGTAAGAGAGGCAGGGCAGCTAGCTCTCAAATCTTACCAGCCCCCAAAGGTATACGAAGTAGTCGTATAAAGAGACCTAGTTAGTAACACTAGAAGTAGAATTTAAAATACTATACGAAGTATTACGAAATTTAATTTAGTACTATAGTCTTTCGTAGTATAAATAAATACCATAGAACTATCCCATATACAAAACATTGTATACCATAGAAATCCCTATACAAATTATATTATTGGGCATCGTTGTGATTTTTCATGTTCACGCAAAAATCTGGAATTTACTATGTAAATGCTCTTTTACATCAAAATAACGTGCCAAGCACTGAAATTTGGGTGCCCGTATAGGGATGGGTGCCCGTGTAAGACGACCCGGGTGCCCGTAGATGAAATGCCTTAGGGAAGGGAAGTGAGACAATAAGTATTAGCTAGAATCGTCATAGGCGGGGCAGACGGGTACATTTAGTAAAGCGAATCGATCGAATCGAAATCGCGGGTCGAAAACTAAACCTTTGTTGTAATGCTAGAATGAAGGTGGTGATACGATAGAAATAATCGCACTCACGAAGAAGGATTGAGAGGGCTCATAACCTGTGAGATCACGAACAATAGCGAAAGCAAGCGTATGTATACGATTAATTAAGTATGCTATCCAGAGCAGAAGAGAGGAGAGAAAGATTGGCGGGAAGTCTGGAGGGCTAAAAAGAGGTAGTGCGCCCAGGGCACGGTGGGCACGGCACAGATGTGCCTGCCGCGTGAGAGACCCACCAACAATTTACCGTTCGATTCCCGAAAATTAAAGACCCGCTATTTCACTCTAAACTTCGGCTATACTAATTATAACCTGGAGGCCTATTTAATTATTCAGTTTTCTCTCTAGCCTTTTCGCTACCTGTTAAAATAGCACTATTCCCCTTACTACTTTAATAATTACAAAAAGAAATCTGGGGGTTAGAGGCTCTATTACTCTTGTATATAACTTTTATAGATATAAATAAGAAGGAGGAACGTCCGTTAAGGGGACCGCTATTTTGATTCCTTTATATAAAATATAGGTTCCTTTTTATATATTAGGTAAAGGAGTAGAGACTTGCTCGGCGGGCAGTGTCTGTTTTCTCCGCGGTCAGTGTCACTGCCCGTATAGCAAACCTGTTGGAGGTGTCCCGTGTCACGTGCGGCCAGCCATGGCTCCCTCTGGCCATGGCCCCACCGCACAGGGACCTCCCTTGCCCTACTTCTAGACCTCCAGACTTGCACAGTCTGACCATACACAATACATCACCATCATTGATTCGTTCGTGGTCGTTCACCCTGTTCACAAAACCCTACCCCGATATTCCTCCGCAGGCAGTGTCACAGTAATCCCTACACTGTAATATTCCCTGTGGTTTTCAACATTCTAGCAACATCTGGTGATAGTTTCTTGGTGTTGAGGCCGCCCATATACAATAGACGTGGCTAAAAGGTGCAAATTCAAGCAGCAATAAAGTATTCATCTATCTATCTACCTAACTAAAGCAGCTCTCTCTTACTTTCCCAGCTTCTTTCTGGAGGGTTTCACCGCTGGAGGTGCTGACGAACGTATTATAGTACACTTCTTACGGGCAGGCTGTTTGTTAGAGCTTGAGGGAGCAAGAGGGTCGCTTGAGGGAGCCGCGGCGACCGCTGCCACTACAAGAGCTAGAAGCGAGTTATCTAAAGTAAAAGAATTTAGCGAGGAGGGTGATCCTGGTCTCGGTGCCTGCAGTGCACCTCGATGGCAGAGCCCACAGTAGAAGCCTCTAACTCTCAAATTGCCAAGTTAAACGTGTCATGTTTAGTTTTATCACGGTTAAGGATTACTATAACACTGCCCGCGGAGAAAAGTGACACTGCCCGCCGAGTAAGTCTCAAGCAGTAATTCTCTTAATTATAAATGATAACCACTCAAAGGAATTGAAAATTAATTTGATAATACCGTATTTTTTTTGGGATAGCTATATTACGCTTAACACTAGGACCGAACGATAATTTCCATTCATAGCAATATTAGGCCGTAATACGCTATAGTTATATAGGTTAGTAGAAGAAGAAGAAGAAGAATGAATTTTGCGACTACGTTCTACCACTAACTGATAATAAGTCGTGCCCGCGACGGTGGCTGGGCATAGGTACATGTGTGCGGGGAAAAAGCCTCATAGGTCAGCCAGGTCGGACCCTGGCGTGGCCGTGGGCTGGAAAAACCCTTGTTCCATCAATGTGAGTGTGTCTCATCTTCATCCCGGGCCTCCTGATCCAGGGAGGGCGAGCGGCACCACGTAAGGCAGTGGCTCGTCGTCTGGATCGGGTGTCTCCGCTCGTGCTATCCTCATCCCCTCGTATCCTCCTCCTTGTAGAACCCGGATGTGTGTATAGCCCTCATCTTTCAGGGCTTGTACTCTTGCGAGAAATGTGGCGTGACTGATGCCGAAGGCTGTCGGTGTGTCCTGCGCCGCGTTGGGGTTGCGGTACGTGACTAGTGGGCAGACGAAAAAGTGGCCTTTTTCTCGGGCCGCCCCGCAGAAGCAGTAGCGGAAGGTCTCAGGGGGGTGGTTGAAGCGTTCGTGGTATGAGTGGAAGTCCCAATGTCCTGTCCGCTCTCCGACCCATCTTGCCAGGTGCTTGCGTGGCAGTTCTACGTATGGGTTGTTATTCCTGTGCCAAGGCTGGTCAGCGAGGCTGTGAGGCTTGTTGTCAGCCCACCATAAGTCGGGGTCGGCTTCGGGTGGCAGTGCCCACTGGCCGGGGCGGTGGGCCCTCTTGTCGGAGCCTGGCGCGAGCCAGTTGCGGAGGGCCGGTAGTCGGGGGCGCCATATCTCATCTGGTGGTTCTTCCGGTGGGAGCTGTGCTTCTGCGAGGGAGTGTAGTCTGGACCACCCCTTCGGGGGGGGGCCTTCTTAGCCTTTGTGTGAGCGGGTGGTTGCCTGGGAGTGTGTGCAGTCGCGCTGCCGTCCTCGCCGTTTCTCTCCCCAGGATTTCCGGTGGTGCAATGCCCGCCAGCCAGAAGGGGATTTGTCTCGGTACTGTGCGCCATATCGGCATGGTCTTCCTGAGCGCTTTCGACGCCGCTGTCTCCAGCTCGTGTAGGGCGGATTTGATGTTCGTGGACACCGGGTTGCCGTTTTTCCCTGGCTTGGTATACCCTGGGAACAGTGCCGCTGCTCCGTATACCAGTGTCGGTATGAGGCAGGATGTGAAGAGTTGTCTGGCCGAGCGTGGAGTGAGGCCTCGGGAGACCTGGTTGATTCTTGCTGACAGTCCTGTTATCGCCGTTGACTTGGGTATGCGTCTCCGTACTTGCGTGGCTATTGAGAGTTTGGCGTCCAAGTGGACTCCCAGCCATCGCATCTCCTTTTGGGGCCGCACTGGGCCGAGTGGTGTATCGACGGTGATCCTGGTTGGGTTCCGCCAGATTTTCTTCGCATTCTTGCCGCGTGGTGGCAGGTAGAGTGCCTCTGTCTTCCTGTGGTCTACCTTGAGGCCTAGATCGGTGGCCCGCTTGTGTAGGTCTGCTGCTCTACGAGAGGCGGTGTACAGCGTTTGTGTGGCATCCCGGCCCACAGTGAGGTGAGCGATGTCGTCTGCGTAGGAAAAGGCCGGCCCTTGGTGCTTCTTCGGCAGGGAGGCTGTAAACAGCAGGAAGAGGATGGGGGACCATGGGGACCCTTGGGGTAGCCCGTTGTCCGAGTGGAAGCGTTTTTTGGCCCATCTGAAGGTGAAGCTCCTGTCTGTGCAGAAGTCTGTAATTAATGTGATTAGGAGAGGTGGCCATCCTTGCCCCTTCAGTACCTCGCCGAGTTTGTCCACCCGGGTGGATGGGAAAGCGGAGTCGATGTCGTATGTGGTGATGATGCCGTGTAATCCGAGCCGGTTGGCTCCCTCGGCGTCGTGGACTAGGGCCATCACAAGGTCTGTTGCGGACCGGGTCGGCACCGCCCCGGCTGTGTCTCTCGGGATGAGGTCGGCGTTGAGTGCAATAGCCGTCATTCTTCTGGCGACCAACCGTTCGATTCCTTTGCCTATCGTAGATAGCAGTGCGATCGGTCTCCATCCTTTGTAGTTGTGCGGGTCCCTGCCAGGTTTCGAGAGGGTGACCACTTGGGCCCGCTTGAATGCCGTCGGGAATTTCCCCATCGCCAGCGTCGCGTGCGTGATAGCACGGATGGTGGGGAAAATTGGCTCCCAGTTGCTTTTGAGGGCAGCTAGGGTAATATTGTCCGGCCCCGGGGTGTTCGAGCCGCATCTCAGGAACGCCTCCCGGATTTCCTCGTCCGCAGGTGAGTCCAGGACCCATTGTGCGATGTCCTGGGGGAGCGTCGGGCCGTGGTGTTGGTATGGGGGGAGGGGGTCTTGCCCCGCCGGGCGGAAGGCTGCGTTGGCTAGGTATGTTGCGATGTCTTCTGGGTTCGTCAACCTCTCGTCTTGTACGTTGATTAGGGTTGGTCTGTCGTCCAGGGAGTCTTTCCGCCATCGGAGGATGTTCCCTAGCTCTTTGGGGGTCTTGGCGGTGTCGATCTTATTGCGGTAGAAGTCCGTCCGCGTTATCCTGCAAATCCGCCTGTATGCCGTTGGATCTTCATCTCTTGCTTCTGCCAGGAGCTTGTTCCACCATGGCATGCTTTTCGGTTTTCCTCCCAGGGCAACAGAGTGCTCCTGGATCGTGCCTTCGAGGGTGTTTACCAGGGACCAAGCGAGGTCCTCGAGCTCCTCTGGTGTTTGTGGGGTTTGTACCGCTCTGGGTAGGCGTCTCATCAGGGCTTCGTACGCGTCCTCCGCGTTTGTAGGTGGGAGGGCGTATTTCTTGGGAGGGGGGATGTTTCTTCTCGCCGGGATTGTGATGACGAGCTTGCGGTGGTCCGACACCCACGCGCCTACTCTCATGTATGATCTCTCTACGCCGAATGCAAGGTCTAGGGTGGATTGCCCGTTCGCGTGTCTGTGTGTCGGTATACCGGGTGTGTTCAGGAGATTGAGGCCCCATGTTGCTGTGGTTTCTTCGAGGGCCTCCCCTCTGCCTGAGTGTCGAAATTGGGGGTCCCAGGTAGGGTGGTGTGCATTGAAGTCTCCCACCACGAGTGTGTGTTGTAGTTGGAGTGTTGGTAGGTATTCCCTAGCCGCTTCTGCCTGTCTGTCTTGCGGGTGCCAGTATACACAAGTGATATTGGCGTTGTTCACTGTCACCGTTGCCGTGTGTGTTTGGGGGTTGGCGGGGACAATGAATTCGTGTGTCTTCGCGACGTATATCGCCGCTCTTGTCTCTCGGTCGTCTAGACCGATGCTGTAGTAGCCGGGGTATATAGGTTAGTAATTATTATAAAGGGATATAGTATTAAATTGTTTTAATTATATTTAAATCATTAATACTTATATTAAAACTATATTAAAATTTTATTACTTTTTAGGTTTATAAGGAGGTAGGAAGGTTCTAGAATATTGTTATTCAAACAAGGTAGTTCTTTTTAAGTATTTATAGCGCTTCTGATACAGGAATGGCTGGATTTCCAGCCATTACCTATATCCTTGTATTATAGCTCTGACAGCCCAGACTAGCTGGTTTGTCATGGAGGTCGCCAAGCAAGGTCCCAAACTGGGCCTAGAGCTCTGGCCACCTCGTGGCTCGTGCTCTGGTACCGCCCAGCATATCTACTGCGTGCAGGCGGCCAGCTTCAACCTTCTACCTTTCTAGAATCATCAATTTATACACATTCAAACAAACACACATACTGTGCTTTTCACAATACCCTCTCAACGGTATTATATAGTAGCTGCAACTGCAGATCGCAGTGCTCTCCCGAACCACACCACACCATTTATGGCATTTCATCTATGTGCACCACGGTCGTCTTATTTGTGCACCAAACCTTATATGTGTACCAATGGGGTTAGAGTTTAACGTGTATATTATTTTTTTCCAACCTTTAACATAGCCAGACAGTAATCGTACAATACCCTTTTAGTGTAAGTTTGTGCTAAGCCTAGTAGCCTGGTGGACCCCCTTATATACGACCTCTATTTTTAGACGGTGTGATTTTTAGATTTAGTGAATACCTTTTAACCTTTATAACCTTCTTTCTATTCCCTCTTTATAATTAGGCTACTTTTAATTATTAGAATAGGCTAGAATCGACCGTACGTACGTAAATATTAATTGTATTAATTACTAGAACTAATTGCTAAATTTTTTAAAGCCTTAAAATATTGCGCGTATTGCGTACAAAATTTTTAAAATGCCGCCGTAGGATTTAGATGCGCCTATCGACTTTACTTATATCGAAGATACTAATAATGACGCCGATAGCGATTTTATTGACGTTGATTATTTCGCTATCGACTATTATAATTTAACGGGTGATTAGTTAGCTCTTAGTTAAGTTAGTAGTTAAGCTAGCCAAGTCGATGAGGAGTGGGAAGGCTTCTTTGACGCCGATAACGATTTTGATAACGATTTTGATAACGATTCCGATAACGATTCCGATAACGATTCCGATAACGATTCTAATAATGATTTTAATAACGACTTTGGCATCGATTTTGGCGTGCGGTTATTAAGTCCTAGTCTTAGCCCTAGTCCTAGTCCTAGTCCTAGTCCTAGTCCTAGTACGCTTCTTTTAATATAGTTGCTTTAATAAGAGAGCGATTTTAAGGATGAGCCTCTCTTTAATTATAGAAATGAAGTTTATAACCCTCCGTCTGGTACTATATTTTTTGTATCTACAATCGAGAGTTTTTTAAGAGGCGGTTAACGAATAGGTAAAGTATTACGGCTTTGCTATTATTCGCGGCCAAGGTCGTAATATAAAGCCTAGAATCCCCGGTTAAAAATTATATTTTTTTTTTTTTTTTTTACGATTGTTATAGTAAGTTACGCCCTTGTACTACTACGGTTCGAAAGATTACTTCCCGGAAGTGTAGTTGTAAATGGAAAGCGGTTATAAAAAAAGTAAATAGTTTTTAGCACTTTTAAGTATACTTTAATTCAATATATTAAATTTATAATTACGGTTAGGCTTAGTACTTATTTACGTACCCCCAATTTTGTAAAATAAAGTTAGAGATATTCAAGAAGATCGACGATACTTTTAAATTTAATATTATACGAATTCGAGAGATTATTGCTATAATAAGAGAAGACTTTCCTAGTTCTATATATACGAAAACTGAAATATATAACGTACGCGCATATTTATAGCGCCGCAATTTCGATGGTTATACCCCTACTAGTATCCTAATTAAATTATTTAACGATAATAATATTGAATATATTAAAAAAATGGATTCAAACGATAAAGAACGGTTATTAGGTTTTGTTTTTACTTTCTTAATTTATATAAATTTAGCTAGAATATTTTTTAAGGTTATAATTATCGATAATATGTATAATATTAACCGGGTTTATGATCCTTTTTACTAAATTTCGAATATTTCTTCTATTGGCTCGGTATCTAACTATAGCTTTGGCATTGTTAACGACGAAAAGTAGGAAGTATTTAATTTTTTAATAGAGGTTACTAAAGAGTTAAGATTACGGTATAGCCTTTTTAAACCTATTGTCGTCGTTATAGATAAATATAAAGAAATAAAGTAATTATTTAGTAATATTTTCCTTGATACCTAGTAATAGCTTATTCTATATTGTTAAGAACGTATTATTTAATATTAAAAAAAAGTAGAAGTAGTAAAAGGATAACGATAATAATAACTCTAAGAATAAGGAGGGTAAAGAAAATAATTAGGAGAATCCAATATTTCTTAATTTATTTAATTACGGTATTTACTTATTAATATATAACCCCAATTCGAAAGCGGCGGCCAAAATTATAAATGACCCCTATAGCGTTATAAATATATTTAAATTTATACTATACACTAATATTAAGCTAAAGTTCTAGGCTATTTAAGAGAGTTTGAAAAAGTAATTCGAAGTATAATAAATAATTCTTCGGTATATTTAGAAGAATTAGCTCCCTATTAAAGATTAATGGGTATACTATTATATTAAGTAATATCGAAATTATAGTATGAAGGTCACGTCCTTAATTAAATTGAATAATTTTAATATTAAGAGTTACTTTCTTAACGGTAATATCGATATTCATAAATTAGTTGCCGCTATTGTAGAGATAGGTATTAAATAATATTAAACTTTTAAAGAGAAGATTACAAAATAATAAACCCGTTAACGATAAGAGTATATTGATTGTACGTGTTTAAGTAAGCTACCGCTACAAATTGATTATATTATATTCGAATTAATTAATTACGAATATTACTAAGTAGAAAAGTATAAGCCTATTAACTAACGTGAAAATCCGCTTACCTTAAGGCCCTATAGTAAGGAATATAAGATTACTACTTAATATAGACTATTTTACCGCTATATTATATTTAATAGGTTGATTGTAAAGAAGGTATTAAAGCTTACCTATATATACCTTCACTAGTATTATAAAGAGCCCCTTATATATTAAATCCCTTATCTTTTTACTCTATTTATTTATCTATATATAATTACTAATTAATTATTTTAATAAAAATTTATAATTTCTACCTCCGCCTTTAAAACCTTCGTATTACAATTATATGTTGTAGCCGTACTAAGAACTTTGCTAGAGCTATCCTTAACGAATACGTACTTTTAATAGAGCTAGAGATAAAGTAAAAGACCTTAAAGACTTTAAAGATTCTTAAGATTCCTAAAAAGTAGAAGGCTACATTCGGTTTAAAAAAGGGAAATAAGAAGGCTATACCAATATTAAAGAGAAGGAATATAAAGGCTATACTAGTATTAAAGAGTAAGAAGGTTAAGCCTATTAAATAAAGCAACCTTAATAACTTACGTCGCTTATAGCCGAATATACAATATAAATTATTTTACTAGGAGAGTAATAATAGTACTAACGAACTTACTCCCAATTCTACGAAACGTAAGCGCGTACGAAAGCCGGTTAGCTCTAATACTTTAAATTATAGTAGCGAATCGGAAGCAGTATCAAAATTAATACTAGACTACATCCAAGTGGCTATACTAGAATTAGAATCAAAGTCAGACTCAGACTCAAACTCAAACTCTCTACTCCCGCTTCTAAAGCTCCCGCCTCTAGAACTCCCGCCTCTAGAACTCTCTCCAAAAGTCTCTCCAAAGCTCTCTCTAGAGCTAGAGCTACAGCTAGAGCTACAACTAGAATTCTTACCCTCTACGGAGCCCTCTCCAGAGCCAGAGCCAAAGCTAGAGCCAAAGCCAACGTACAACTTCTCCTCGTCTCCAAAATAGCTAGAGTAATAGTAGTCCTCTCCAGAGCCAATACTAAATTGCATTCAAGTGGCTGCACTAGAGCTCTCGTCTCTAGAGCTCTCGTCTCCAAAGCCAGAATCAAGCTCTATTCAAATAGTTACACCAAAATCGAACTCTCCCGTTAAGCAAGCGGTTAAGCGCAAGAAAGGCAGGGCTCAAATAAGCTTACCAACCCCCAAAGTTACACGAAGTAGTCGTATAAGCAGACCCAATTAACAATACTAAAAACACTATGTAAACTATTACGAGATTACTCCCCATAATCAGTAGCATAGTCATTCGAAGTATATGAATAAATACCATAGACTCTCCCATATTAAAAACATTGTATGCTATACAAATCTCTATACAAAACTATATTACTGAACATCGCTATAATTTTTTGATGTACATGTAATACTATGGAATTTACTATGTAAATGCTATTTTACGTCTAAAATACCAGCCAAGGATTGAAATATAGGTGCCCCCATAAGGTTGGGTGCCCCCAGATTAAATGCCAAATAAATACTACATTAGTAATACCTTTAGAAGTGAGAGAAGGTCGACTCCGTCGTTTAATAGTTAGGCCGCCTAATTACAAATATAATGTTTAGCGAGCCGTTAATGATAATAATAACGTTATTAATCCTAACCTAACCCTCCCTACCTTTTTTTATAGTATTATAGAGGCTAATTATATAATTCGTTTCCCCGAATATCACTTTATAATTATAAAGGTCCTTTGTAACTCTATCTAAGCCAAAATAGATTGTAATATTGCTAAGAACTATAATTAAACTATTAAATTAACTAATTATAAATTATATTAATTACTAATAATAAAGAAGTAAATTAAGGTAATAGAAAATATTATTATTTATTTTCTAAAAGAACGTCCATTAGATATACATAT